GAATAGGAGTAGCATAAATGCAATTAAACCGCCGACTATTCCGCCTACCCTCGCCGCGGCGGGATTGCTCCGAAATTTTGTTGTGTGCGTGGGCGATAACGTCTCTGTGACACTACTCGGTGACGTGAAGGGTCCCGGAGACCGATTCGCTGCGACAGAGGCCGTGACGTTGGTGGTGCGAAATTGGGTGGCATTCGGGGACGAAGAGTTGGATAATGATGTAGCTGATGGAGAGTTAATTGGAGGAGTCGAAATTGGTGATTCAGTGTTCGATAACGAAGGGAGCAATGGGGTCGAAATTGATGATTCAGTGTCCGATAATGAAGGGATAGGGGGAGTCGAAATTGATGATTCAGTGTCCGACAATGAAGGGACAGGGGGGTTCGAAATTGAATCGGGTGAAGGGCTGCTTTGGGATGTTGCAGTACTCGGGGAAGCACTAGCTTCCGTAGTTATGGGCGTAGGTGTTAGAGTATTTGGCTGCGCGATGGATGGTGGGACGAATGAGAATGGTCCAAATGCGGCGCCAGATGGGCCAATCGATATAAATGGTGCAGTGTTAATGCCAGCCATCGAAGCAACCTGCTGATATTATATAGGTAAAAGCAGCTGTTTATTACCGCTTAACCTTGCAAGGATGATTCACGATTCTAACAACGGGTCGGTGAAGGCCGGAGCTAGTGCAGACAGTGCATCAGAACTTTGCGCAGAGTGGTTTGGCAAAACACATTGACGGAGGAGATTGAGACACAAAAGTACACCTACTCAGCACCACATTGGTACACAACGTGCAAGTTGAACCTCACCTCTTAGTGGATAACCGAATCGATGCCCCGGTGTATATCCACAACCTTCCTGGTAGCAATTACAAAGAAATGTATGTGCGCAGGATCGGGGATGGAAATCAGTGAAGGGCCGACTGCTACGACACTTATACCCGTCCTATCTGGAATCACACGGGCTATCCGCGATGCATTCGTCCTTGACGGACAGATGGAATGCAATCATCGGCTCCACAACATCCTGACCTATGGACAACGGGCACCTTCCATGAAGACCGAACATGTGAACGCCACGTTGCCGACCTATGCCGACCCATGAAGATACACGTCGGCGTACCTGGCCATGGACCCGGAACTACGCACTATGAGACCATCAGGTGAGCCGCCGGAGTAATAATGAAGACGTCCCACTAGTTTGGCAAATGCGCGGGAGAAAAATGTCATGGAAAATTTGATCGAGAGGCAACACTGGATATCACACGGGCTTCCGACGCCGGTGAGATCGCAGATAATGACATCGAGAACTGAGAACCAAACGGACAGTGATGAAAATGCGGCGAATGGTCAAAACGCAGTGTCCCGGGGATTTAGAGGAATATTAATGTGAATGATTTCCTGAATCGTGTTGCCCGGTGGGTCTTGCTACTAGTACCGGTTGCGTGGCAAACGAGAGTAGTGTGGCAATGCGATCGAGAATTTTTTGGGCATGTTATGATTAGAGAAGACAGTCGCGTGGATGGAAAAAAAATGGAAGCCGGGCAGATCCGCGCTGGGCAGTGGAGATCTGAACCGACTCAGGCGCTCAAGCTGTCGTCGAACGTCCAGATAATGTCTCAGTTCGTCGCATACGAACGTACGAGTATGTCAGTACTTCTCTTCCTTTGTATAGATATTGATACCTCCGCGAGCAGCACCAGATCTCGGCTGATCATGACCTATTGACCCAATCCCTAGCTTCGGGGACATCACTTGGGCGGCAAAGTTAGCCAGATTGCTCCCAGACAGTGATTATGTCCAGCGCTACGCTCGCTCTCCTATGTTCGAAACGGACGGGAGAAGGCGCTTCCTTCTTGCTACGAAGTGCGCAGACCCTGAGAAGGTGGCAGAGTGAGACGAAAGTCTCTGGCTCCTGCCAGGAGCAATCCACGAAACTTCCTGAGGTGCGACACTGCGAATCAAGCCGCCCCATCTACGTCGAGATGGCCGCAGTGGCCTGTGTTCTCCGATTCCGGTATGTGCATAAAGTGAAATCCAGAGTGATGTTACCAAAGGCATGGTTGGAACATGCTTCGTATCCCGTCTGCTGTGCTATAGGCTGGGAAGGACTCTGCTAGACTTCAGATCACTCAAAAATATGATTTACCGATCAAACCGATCAAGACCCTTCTAGAGACTCGCACGTTATTCTGAGATTCACGAGCATGTCTCCCACTGAGATAGACCGGAGCAACTTCATCACGAAGGAGCATCGGCACGAATACCGTCGTCGCATCGACGACGTATCCTGACAACCCACCGCCATAGCCAACCATGCGACATTATTATCCATACACATCCGCCTTGCAGGACATCAAGCGAGGAGCATAACAATTTATCTAGGTTTTAGGTGAACCTCTAGAAATATGAATCTTGCAAATACGCTGGTGGTATATCTATAATGCGTGTGGCGGGAAGCCGGACACCTGAGTCGCTGTGCTGCTTGGTAATGATTGGAAGAGATGTAGAAGAACAATAGAGTTGCAAAGTGCTAGGGGGACGGAGAAGAGCGAAATGGGAAGAAACAAGAAGAGGGCACGAAGGAGAAGGAGGGGGTAAACGGGAGAAGATGGGATGAGAGTAGGTTGCATAACATTTGGCGCAACCCCATTGGCAACGCTCTCGCGAACCGTCTGTTCAGAGTAATCTTCCGGGCTCAGACTCTTCTCCAACCTATCGTTCACGTCGCTGACTTCTACTTTCTGTGATGTGGAGATTGAGATAATCGTCGGCGGTACGAGGCAGACAGGACAAGAAATGTTGGGTTTATCCAAGTACTGTGGGGCAGGGATATGAACGCTGTTATCCCTCCAAGATCCGAAGGGACAAATGTCTTATAACGTGAGCAGGGTCACCTAGGGTGCTTAGAGTGTATATATTCACACGGGGATACCGACCAATGGAACGACGGCCATCGCTTCTTCCGCGACACTAGATAAGGAGGGCTAGCATCGCTGCTAGTCCTAGTGCCCCGCCTACAGCCGCGCCAGCCAGGGTTTCCACCGGGAGCATATGAGCCCGTATCGAAGCGGCTAAGCGGCTAATTCCAACCCTGCGGTGAGGCATCATGCTCAGATTCAGAGGGAGTTGCCCCAGATTCCGCCACCATCAAGCCTGTTGGAGTAAGGGTCGAAACAGATGGCGTCGATGGATGGTTGACGAAGGTGAGATTCCCTATAGACGACACAGGCAGAAGAATGCTTGCGTCAGGCCTAGTTACAGATGCTACCGAGCTAGATTCAAGAGACTCGGACAAGATATCGATGTTAATGTTGGGGAACCTGGTGTAGTGCTGACAGGAACTGCAGAGGTCGAAGTTGCCGATGGGATATTGTTTGTGGCCGGCTCCGTCCCAGACGTAATCATATCACTTGTGAAATCTACTGAGGCTGGAACAACAGTTTGGGCTGCGGAGACGCTGCTGATTGAGTTTGGGTCTCTTGCGGAAGCGGTACCCAGGATAGTAGTGCTCTCCAAATCGCAGGCCCGGACCAACGTGACGCTTGCCTTCTTATCTGTTCGTGTAGGCATGTCTTGCCCACAGGCTGCGTTCGGTATGAATGTTTCTTCCGTATCGTGGAATTCGGCATAAGTAGGGATTACTACCTCTCGCAAGTGGGTCAGCGGCGCTTAGTGTGGAACTAGGGTGCTTACCATAGAATATCAACTCCCCAGCTATATCGTCCGCAGCTGTCACGGGTGCTGTAATTGCGGGTTGTTTAGTTGAGACGACGCTCGATAATCCAGCCGAACACTAAACAGTGGAGTCAGCATATTCTGAGAGTGATTTTCGACCAATCTCGTTATATCTTGCAACTGATCGATCAGACCATGATCATTTATCAATGTTGATGCTTGTCGTAGGATTAGATATAGATCTTACTTCGTCAAGCTTACTTTGTCGCCTTAGTGTGAGACATCAGTTGACTCAAGGATATGTAATTGTAGCTTACCGTGTCCGTAGTAGCGCATGAACGACCTGGGAGCAGCCATGCAACATCCCAACCATTCATTAACAGCAGATAGAGCCTCCGTATGATATTGCAATGCTACCATTCACTGAGAGATCGGTACCCACCGCACTCGAGGGCACGAAGTGTTAGGAAATCGGTATCAGAAATATTCTGGAAGAAACCTGTCTGGATTTCTCAAGCTCATGTGTGATCTGAGACGTGAACGGCCCATGCCGGCCACAACTGCGGGAGACCAGAACAAATGAGCTTTGATCATTACGTGGTAAACTGCTCGCAGTTGCAGGTGAAGTTTCCGTCAGCGCAATAGAAGGCCTCGAACAGCTTCAGGCTGTTCTAACTTGAGACATCAACCGGGGTACATGTCGCCGAAAATCATGTTAGCGAGCTGTGACCGATGGGCCGATAATGTGCCCATAGTTATGTGACCGAAGCACCGGAGAAGGTTGAAGAGGGGTGGTGGACAAGCCGAACAAGCAAGATGGCACAAAAACTGGGGTAGGATTTGCTCGAGTAAGGCCGGGAGATATGGCTGAAGCCTATGAATATGGCCGCGACTATATGTTCTTTATATCCGTTCTACCGTGCCGCTGACGATGCCGTCTGAAAAGGCATCGAAGTCAGCATCGCATAAACAGATGGGTCAGCCGTGAGTTGGCCGAAAGGAGGACCGATATGTGCAGGCCGAAGTATAGACAAATGATAGATTCGTGGCGAACCCGGAAAGAGTGGTTGAGTCGTGACATAACCAGTGCCCGCACTAGATGGTGCCGTACTATAAGCATACACGGCCCAGTAGGATCCCTAGGCCATCCCACCCGAAAATCAGTCAAATCCAACTATCCATAGGCGGTATTCAGTCGGTAGCCTCGTGGGAGGCCGACATAAAGAAGAGCACACTGTACAAGATCAATAGTATTTGGGAGACAAGGCTGCCTGAATTCCGGGGCTGCTGTGGTGTTGTATATATTTCAGGTTCCACCCACCCTACGGGCATGTGGTGTAGTTGGTTATCACGCTCGCTTAGCACCAGTGTTGTTTGCGAGAGGGGTCCGGTTCGATCCCGGACATGTCCATTCAAATTCCATCTCAGACATTTTTGATTCAGTGAAGCGGCACGTCATCTTGCTCAATGAAGTATCCGAGCCTACACAAGACAGCCATGGGTCTGTTCTCGTACTCATTCCCCTCTGCATCATAGTAGCTACTACAGTATCAGATCAAATAATCTCCGAACGGCACAATGGACAGCTTGAGGAGTGGCTGGTATTGAACCACTGCGAGAAGGTCAGCGGAGAATATACCAAAAACAACACGACATACTTTGTAAAGACAGCCAGCGTGGAAACGGTTCTTGCACGTCTTGCACGGCTTCTTTGGAAGGCTACCATCCATCGCGCTGATGATGCTGCACAGAGGCGCATTAGCTGACGGGAAACACGACACGCGAAGGGGACCTTACGAGTAGCAAATGGCGCACTCTGCCAGACCTTCGAAGTGCGATGAAACATTCTTCTTGAAGAAGGTCAAACCATCAACTATGCTGCCACTCTTGAAGACGCCGGGAGCCGAATTAGTGTATGCAATGAGAAAGAGGAGACGTGCCCACCCTAAACATAAGAATCTGCTGCACGCCAAGAACCCATGCCCTCCAGCGATCGTCAGGCACTCCGACGCGCTTGGTATCACGTATCTCAATGCCGTGCAGCGGATAGTCCGAGGGCAGTTTCAGCGTGAGCTCGAGCTGATGCTCGTCCACGGCGTACGACAACGTGACCTCGTTGACGGCATTTGCGACTTTGACGACCGTGTTGTCGGTGAGCTCAGCAGCTGTGTCTGGGTTCTTCACCTGGTCTAGCTCGGCCTTTACAATGGCTGGCGAGAGATGGCTTGAGGTGTACGTTGTGACGGCACTGTGGAGTTGACGATCTCGGCAGTCGAGTAGCCAACTGCGGACGAGGGAGGGAACAACAAGAAGCGCTCTGTAATAGACATGCGCGGCGAGAAGCTGTAGACTTAGACGAGATTCAAACGTATACGCTGCACTAGGTCAATGGTTGAAATCGCTATCTAGAATGAAATGCTCACATTCCAAGTAGAACTCGTCGATAGACCAGATGTCCAGCTTGAACGCTTTCGATATACCTTCATAGAGCCCAAGTAACGTGAAGATTGTTGGAAGCAAGTAATCGGAAACGAGGGAGAGATCTCGCAGTTGGTCTATATAGCCTGACTTGACTTTGAGAGACTGCAACAACTCGTAAGTACACGCATGACCCGAGCTCAGGATGCTTACTGCATTCGCGAACAGATCGAACGCCACCATCCAGCCCAGCAGGTAACCGAAGAAATCCTATAATACAGTTCAGTCAGGGACTGGCGCGTGATGAATTGGACATACCTGGTGATTCCTGTCAATGCTGCCATCTAGATTGAGATATCGCTGCAGAATATCTATGAGCTCTGCGGGAAGCTCAGGCTTCATGGTCGCCTCCGAATCAACTGCAGCCTCAATGACCATGTATTCTGTGTACTTCCTGGCAGATTCGTGCAGAAGCTGATAGGCCATCTTTTGCACCTCGGCAGAGGTGTCCCTGACTAGATGGCACATCTATCTACAAAGTCAACTCAAGTACCATGTTCAGACAGTGCATTACTTGCCTTCGGGAGAGTAGTCTCGTCAATGAGGGTGTTTGGCAAATCTTGCACGATCTGTAGCGCCAGTTCACGGCAGACCGAAAGCGGAGTGGAGGCCCGGTCAGTGTCTATATCGGCTGCTCTGAGCAATGGATGTCTGGATCTCAACCCGGCGACGTACCTGGTTTAACTGCAACTAGATCCCTGACGTACAGTAGATTAATGATTTGCCGTTTTTCCCATACCGCACGGAGAGCCCTGTTCGTCGATGCCAAATCCTGCACAGCGATGGTCAATCGCAATGTCCTCTCCAGAGTCACCAACGTGGAGGACTCCGCGAGCGACGAGTTCTATGCTGCAAGGTCAATCAAACGCACTGGCCATAAGCGTCAAAGGTACTACCTCGAGATTGTTCTCCATGACATCGAATATCAGATCCCAATGTGCTCCAGGCACGCTCTGCAAGATCGGTGCAAGATGGATGAGCACCAGAGTCAACTCACTCTCCACTTCCTCATCGATGTCCTCGTCGGATGCAATCCACTGCTGGCACGCCTTGACGAGGTTGACAGCGCGGTGCTCCGGGAGGAAGACGACATCCGACTCAGGGTCGGGAGCAACGGCAGCCAATCTGCGCAAGAGCCACAGCCCGTCCGTATTTGCGCGCGAGGGGCGCACGCCGAGCACCTCGGCCGCAAGCTCGTTGCGGTAACGATCCAAGCGGGCCGGTTCGGGTGCATAGCGCGTTACTGAGAGTGCGATGGCAAGCGAAGTCTGCGGGGCTAAATGTGCATTTGATTAGTCAGTGCATGCAGGAACAGAGTGGTCCTCACCTTGCTTCTCAATCTTCCTCGCAAGCAGAATCCACTGGTCTGCCTCCTCCTTCGTGGAACCGCTCAGCACATGCTGCAGCACTGTACGCAGGATCCGAGATTCCCGAATGGCGTCCTCGCGTTTGCCATGTTCGACAAGATCATACACCGCTTTCCCTGCATCATCCAGAGTCTCCGATTTCCCAGCCAGAATAGCATTGACGACGGCCGCGTGCCACCCATCTTCCTGCATAGACGACAGCAGATACGTCGTCAACTGCTGGATCTTGCTGATCAGCTCCTTCAGCACCGCCTTCGAGGCATGAGACCAGAAGAGGGGACTCTGCACATATGGGACATTCAGCCACTCGTCTGCATAGAGTCCGAATGCAAGCAGATGGCGGAGTATCCACATGTTCTCCTTCGCAGCGTGCCGTGCAGTCGCGAGGTGCCGGACCATGGTGCCCACTACACGAGCATATTGCGAAAAACCGACAATGTCGAACGCCGGGTTCTTGACAAATTCCGGTTCATATAGCGAGAGCGGGGGAACAAGTGGATCGATGACAGCCAGGCTTGCATCGAGAGGAACCGAGGGGAGTCTGTCGAGCATCGCGTCGAGCTCGCTCCTCGGAGGGAAGATATCTGATACCAGATCGACACGCAGTCCGGACAGGGGTTCGTTGAGCATTCGCAAAATTTGCTCTGACCTATACAGCGCAAAGCCATTAGCAGCGACCGTGCATAATGGAGCTGCACGAGCTCACGTCGGCAGGGCTTTGCAATCCATCAACAATTCACGCAATCTCTGCTTGATGACCACCGTGACGACCTCCCGTGTCTCCTCTTGCGCCTTCGCCATCCACGCCTCCCAGAGTCCCCGCGCGGCGTTAATCTGCTGCAGGCCCACGAACAGGTACTGCGGCACGAGGTGCGCAAAGAGGAACATATCAGGCATGACGGACGTCAGCGCGATCTCTGCACCGGTCGAGGCGGACTCGTCCCCGACCACGGCCTGGACGAGCTCGATGGGCACGTCAAACGCCTTGAGGGACACGGAGGCATCGCGTAGCACGCCCTGCAAGTGCAGCGAGAACGCCGAGCAGATGCTCTGTACGAGGCCTTCGAAGCAGCTGTCCGAGATGAAGAACCCTGTGGCACGTCGCGTCAGTCGTCAGCCGTGCCCACCCAGAAGGCCACCTACTCGGCAAGCACAGAACCCTGCGCAGCAATGTCGCCTCGGGCGTCATCTCCGGACCTGCAAGCACCTCCGCGAGCAGGGCACCAGCCGCCCCGTCCAGAGGACCGGTGGCCCCATTCAAATATTCGGGCAAGCGTCGCTGCTCGGCCGCATCAAGCAAGGCAGGAAGCACTGCGTTGAAATCTTCCGGATGTGAACCGACCAACGCAAGGACTTCCGACCAGATCTTCGTGCCGCGGTCTGGATCGTGGCGGTGCGTAAGGTAGACATACAGAAGGGCGGGCGCGATGTGGAGGAGGCGTTGGATGTGGCGCTCAATCGTTGCGTCAATCTCCTGTAGATCACTGATTGAGCGCCTCTAGCTCTTGATTTTGGCGGCTGACATACCTTCGCGAGGTCCGGATCGCTGAACACCGCGCCGCCGAACATGTCGAGGATCGCCACGAGCGACGTGACTCGCGCCGGGGTGGGGTCCTCCTCTGCCTGGAGCATCTTCTTACACTGTTCTATGACGCCCTGGATGATCTCGCTCACGAGGGTCTTCGTGGCGAGTTCCGCGGGCGAGCCTGGCTCGAAGTGCTCGAGGAAGACCTGGAGGAGCGTCGAGACGAGCGGGGAGACAGCTGAGTCTTCCGAAGTCACCTGGGCCTTGATGCATTGCGAGAGGGCGGCCCATGCGGCATGGAAGAGACCTTATGATTGATGGGTATTGACCGGGTTTTGAGAGAGGCGAGAACTTACTTTCATCCAGCTGCAACAAGGACTTAAAGAATTGCGCCAAATTGACTCCAGCTACTTTACCATCCACCTTAAGTCTTCCCGAACTGAGCTCCTCCCACACCCGCATTACCTGCTCCTCAAGCAGCTTCGCAGAAAACTCGCTGGGTGCAGATGCCTCAGCCGCCCGGCCCGCAGGCGACCCACTCATTAGCAAGGCCGTGTCCACCGGTGTGCTCTTGAGAATGCGCCTAATGAGGAACACAAGGCATTCCGAGAGTGACGACAAGAATGCGGCAGACGCTGCAGTCCTGTCGAGCGAACTGAGCGCGCGCCCGTCCACAGCGGCCCAAAACGAGGCCAGGATGTCGGCAATCGGTGTGGATGAGGAGCTTGCGATGATCTGCCAAGTAATCTGGCATTAGTAACACAACTATGCAATGTCATCGAATAGCATACGGAAGCGGGGATAGTAGAGAGGATGATCAGGACAGTCGGGTACCCCTGCACTGGCGAACCTGAGCAGCCAAGCTCGAGGAATCGCAGGAACTCGCGATATGCATGCGATGGGCCCGTGGGCTTTTTCTCTGCCTTCTTAGGTGCATCTTCGTCTTCGTCCTCATCAGAGCTGGATTCCTCGTCCGTCTCGTGCCCGTCATCTTCCCGCTCGAGTTCCCAGCACATCGAGTACTCTGCAATGTAGAAAGTT